GTGACGAGTGAGACTCCATCTCAAAAAAACAAAGTAAAACAAAACAAACACTGTGCCCATGCCCCAATGCCTCTCCCTTGCATAAGATACTGAAAAACCTGCATAGTTAATGTCTGTAAACAAAGGGAATCAGATCAGATGTTGTGTGTGAGTGTGAAAACATCTATGTCTTGCCCTTCCTTATTATTATGCCATTTTCCCTCAAAAAACACAGTGCATCTCAATTTCTAGCTCATTCTGTGTTTGTTCTATGCTACACAGTACTCTAAGTGTAGTTTCTCAGTTGCTTTTTACATTAACTCTATAAAGTAGGTCTGTCACTTACCCCATTTCCTAGATGGGGAGATTGAGGCCAGAGAGGTTAATTACTTTCCTAAGGCTGTCACACTAATATAAAGTGGAGTCATGGTCTAAACCTCAGGGCCATTCTTTTGAATAATTGTGCTTCAAGCAAACTTTACCACAAAGGAGTCATGTGCCCCTATCAGTTTTAAGCATGCTACAGCAAACAGCATAACTCTATTCAGAGGTTAAAAAAATATACTGTCTGTTACTTTTCTTTTGAGAACTATTATCAAGATTTAGAAAGAATTGATTCCAATATTATTACTCATATTGAAACGATTTTTTGGGACATGGTCATAGATAACATTATTTGGATTTTTTAGTTATTTCTAAAGAAAGTAATTTTTGAGTTTATCAAACTTTCTCATGACAAGTATGCATATATCTCTATTATACATTCCATATATTGTATAAATGGTACTTTTTTAACTGCTAGGTGTGAATGTTGAGAACATCAACATCATTATGCTATCTCCCCCGTTTTTCATCTTATCTCTTCTAGATATTCATAATTTGTAATATTTACATTGCATTTTGTAAATCCTACAGTTGTATTAGCTTTATTCTTACAACAAATGGATACTAGAGACTAGCTCATGATAAGAAACTCTTGATTGGCTGAATGTTTTCAAGAAGATTTCATGCAAAATATAGTCTCTATGTCCTTGCCTCTTCAAAAATATTCAGAAAGAGCTTGACCCATTCTTTCCCTAAATAATTTGTAAGCATTGTGCCATTACATTCTAGAGTTCCATATTGACATGAAGTTTCAGGCCTCTCTGATGCACCTCCTTATAGCTAACTTGACCTTTTTTTTTTTTTTTTCTGGATGCCTAATGAATGTTTTCTTTAGCTCTGATTTCTAACAATTTTACTAAGATGTGTCTCAGTGTTGACTGTTCTATGTTCACTTACTGAGACAAGTTGTATCCTTTGAACCTGTAATTCAGTGCTTTGCTTCCTGCTAAGTTTTTATGAGTTATATATCATGATTTTTTTTTGTTTTAAAAGTACCTCAAAGTACTTTTTTATAGACATGATCCTCATTCTTTTCATTATGACTCATCTTTGAAATAAATTTTATTAGACCAGATATCTGTCACTGTTTCACTTTGGGGAGGAACAGGGTAATATTGCAGGATAGTGCAACGGACAGAAAGGTGATGTTTCCCCCAAATTCATTTGTTGAATTTTTAACCCCCATGGTGATGCTACCGGAGGTAGGAACTTTGGGTGTGATTAGATCATGAAGGTGGAGCCCACATTAATGATATTAGTAACCTTATGAAGGAGGTTCAAGAGAGACCCCTTACTCCTACTACATGAGGACACAGTGAAAAGGTGCCATTCTATGAACCAGGAAGTGGGCCTTCACCAGGCATGAAATCTGCTGCTGTCGTGATCTTGGACTTCTCAACCTCTAGAACTGTGAGAAATAAATTTCTCTTGGTTATGAGACACTGATTCTATGACATTTTGTTATAACAACCAAAATGGACCAAGATGGAATTGAAGGTTTTTATAATATAGGTGTGTGTGTATGTGTGTGTTTCTTTAGTCCATTGGTTCATAACTCTACATGCACATAAATTAACCACCTGGAGAGCCTTTAAAAGCCATCTATTCCTTGGATAACTCTAAGGTTGTGATTTAATTGACATGAGGATGGTGCTTGAGAATCTGTGTTTTAAAAGGCTCCCCAGGTCATCCTAAGTTATAGTGGCCATGAAAACCTTCCATTTAGCTTTTGTCCCATTCTAGCCAACCCAGATCAGCAGCGTCGGGGCCCATCACAAAGCAGTTGTGTCCCCTCCACTCTATCTCCCCACCAACTGCTTGCAGAAATGAGGGCCTCTGCTTTGTGATGCTGCATGGGGTCCTGGTAAGCCTCCACAATCAGCCTTTGCTCTGATTCCCTGACTCAAAATATGAGATGGTTCTGTTACTCCAGGAACATGCATTATCTTAGAATATTGCTCTGCTGCTGGTGCTGTCTGAGATCCACAGTAGGCAGAATCCACTCAGGAAGTTTTCTGTTAGACACCCAGTCCTGTGATGTGGTTTGTAGTTACAGTTTTTCAGAGTTCTTAAATATGAAAATTTCATTTCTGTTTCTCAGTCTTCTGGCTATTTGGATGATTTTGGGGACACAAAAGGGCAAAAGATGTCTTTACTTTTCAATCTTACAACAGGGGTTCCTTGTCATTTTTTCTATTCTATGACTCTGGCTTTTAATATATTTTACAATTTGAATTTTTCAACATCATCAGTGTTACATCTTAATGAGACATAAAGCTACTTATGCCAGAAATTTTATAAGTGAATTGAAATTCATGTTTTGAATGGTAATTTGATTAGTAAGAAAAGGAAATGGGCTCCTTTTTAACTAATCATAATTACTTACATATTCAAGTAATTAGCCAAATTCATATGCATAATTAGGCACCTAATTATGTTTTAAATTCAAATTCATGTATGAAGAGATGATCACATGTGTCTAATAAAATATTTTATTTTCCTAATTTTGGGCAAAACATTGTCTTTTGTTTCCATAAGAACTTTTAAATATAGTAGTTTGTGTATCTACAGAGATACATAATATCAGGAAGTAGCTATCAATTTCAGTCTAAATTACAGTGACCATTTAAAAATGTTTTGGTTATGGTACAAGATCAACATTTCATTATCTAACAATTAGTCATACAGTGATGATGAATTCAATCATCATTTGGGAAAAATAAGCAAACAGATGAAATTAAGCCTGTATAGAAAGGAAGGAGTCATGAAGAATAATGAATATTGCCACAAAAACAGACAAAATCAGGGAAAAGAACAACAAGAAAACAACTTAATTCTCTATTGTGGCTCTACCTCCTCATACAAACATGCCTGGTTACCAATGAATTCAAAAGGACATACACTTTGTTGAGCCTATTAGTAAATATTTATGGAAGCCTCCCTGTGAGCCAGGCATAGCCCTGTGCCCTGGAGACTTGAAGATGAAAAGATGCACTTCCTGTTTTCAAGGAGCTTAAATCCTTGGGAGATAAATTAACAGTACAGCTATAGTAAGATAATTGCTTTAGTAGGGGGCGACTGCCTCCAGGGCAATTTCCTCCTAGAATTGGTCCTCTGGAACCAGCACACTACAAGGAGACTTTTTCTCTCAAACAGAGATTCTACCTTATATTAAGCGAAGCCATTGTATGTCAGAGTGAAGAAAGGTGAATCAACTTGAATATAATGCTGCATTTTGAATTCGGGTACAATCGTTGCATTAAAAATGGTGAGGGTGTGATGTGTTTTAGCTACATGATTTTAAAAAATTGGAGGGTATTTTCTGTAAGGGCAACCTTAACCCTGGGATGGTGACCACTCTCCATAGAAGACATGGATACACTCAGTCCCTGAAAGAAAGAGCTGCAGACTCTGAGAAGGCATGCATTCTAGTCATGCCCAGCTGTTGGAACTCCTGAAGCTTATTCCACACAGTGTATCAGCCTATATATCTCGCCTCCCATACCACATCTGTGATTTCTTCCTCATGCCTAAAAGTTATTGGTATAATTCATGATGCCTCTGTACTTTTGAGACAGGAGGGAAGGATTGAAGATCAATTACAAAGCTGGATAAGCTTAAGAGAGTATAGCAAACTGAAATTGCTTCACATCATTTGGCTTCTGGAGTTTTATGAAATAGGAGACAATATTATTGGTCAAAAGAGATGGAATAATGCCATCTAACTATAATGCTTAAAATCAAATATGAGGAAATATTAAAATATAAAGATGAAAACTTGAGATGTTATTTGCAAAACTGAACTTAAAAAGATACCATCAGCCCACGTTCAGTACTATATTCTATATAGAAGCTGTAACCTTATGGTTCAGCACGTGGGCCTGAGACTTGAAGAAAATTTAGTTTAAAAAATTACTCTGATAACAATTCTCAAGGCGTAAGATACTTGTTTAGAATTACACATTTTTTGCTTTAATAATACAATATGTGCAACTTGCATGGAATTATAATAAATGCAATGATATCAACTAAATGGCAGATGCTAAGTTCTTTCATTATGTATGTAATAGCACATTTTAGGACTTAATAAGGCAAGTTAAGAAGAAATGTTCACATTTGAGTACATAGTTTTCATGCACAAGCATTTCCCATACATTTATTACATAGTTGATGCATATTCATTAAGTAGTTTATTAATTGTCTTCTGATCAAGGAGCACTTTTCAGCTCTAATGCACTCATCAATGCCTAGTATTATAGTTTTAAAGACTTACCTCGCCTATTAGGGTATAGTTACATAGGAAAGGAAACCAAATTTTGTTTATCTTTGAGTCAACAACCCAGAACCCTGTTCATCAAACAAATATTTTTAAATGCTACTATTAAGAATCAAAATAGTTAAAAATGAGAGATCTGTAACTCCATATAAATACTGCTGCCTATATACATATATAACATGTATGCTATGCACTGTAGGGTAGAATATATTATAAAATAGGCATAGAATTAAAATTTATATTTGTATTTCTTCTATATGACAGCCAGTCAAAATATTAGTATCAATTATTTAATTATTCTGTCCACTTCATAAACATCATAAAATAGAAACTTAAAACGTATTTTACCAGTAAGACAGACCTATCTCATTAAAGCCACTGTAGCCCAGCTCTTGCCTGCTAAGTCCCAGATCTTCAAGGTCCATGCATTTAAATCCAGGTGGGCACTGGTAGCCTTCTTCTAGCTCTGGTGAGCAGTGTGTGTCTGGAATAGCTAAGCTATTCCAGGTTACATTCCTGTGAACAACACATGAAAGTGTTAAGACAATTTCAACAAACATAAATGTTGATTACAATGAATAATGTGATTACTCTTCATTAATAGCTATGTATCTGGCCAGGTGAGGTTGCTCATGCCTGTAATCATTGCACTTTGGGAGGCACAGGCAGGAGAATCCCTTGAGCCCAGGGGTTCGAGGTTGCCGTGAACTATGATCATGTCACTGCACTCTAGCCTGGGCAACAGAGCAAGACTTTGAGAGTTGAGAGACCTCTCTCTCTCTCTCTCTCTCTAACAGTACAGCAAAGAGTGTGTGTGTGTGTGTGTGTGTGTGTGTGTGTATATATATATATATATATAGAGAGAGAGAGAGAGACATTGAGAGACTTTCTTTCTCTTATGTTGTAGGTACCAAATAATTGATGACAAGCATTGTTGATGAGGTTCCTAGTATTTGTATCACACACTCTGAAACATAGAGTCAGGTCAGAATGAAGTGAAGATGGATCATTTGGCCTACATATAAGAATGAGAAATGAAGAGATATACGTGATGTGTCTGTCTAAAATCATATCTTTCTGGCCCACCCAATTGTGGTAATTGGTAATATATATAAGAGACCTTGAGAGACTCTCTCTCTCTCTCTCTCTATATATATATATATATGATGTTATTTGCAAAATTGTGTATTTGTATCTGAATATAGTTTTAAGATTCATAATTCACAAATGATATTCATAACATTAATTACATATTAAACATTCTCAAATGATATGTGATTCATCCCCACAATGGCTCTTTATAAGAATACTATTACCATGACGGTTTTGCCATTACAGACTGAGACCCAGATAAGCAAAGGAAGGAATTTTTCTACAGATTTGCAAAGAATGTTGACTTGTTTGAGGATTCATTGTGATTCACAAAATCACAATGAGAAGGTGTCTCAAGGTCTTGCTCTGTGGCCTTGTCTCACTGTGGGCACAAATTTTACTTCCCCACTTCTAAGCAATGTTGTATGATGAAAATCATTTTCTGTGCGGTACAAATACTATGAAACTCATCAATGATACTTGTCCTTCTGAGTGTTGGAAGGTGTCTAGTTTAGAAAGAATCAGATAAATAAGGAGAAATGGAAGGAACTCAAGGTATCCCATAGGAAAGAGAGATTATGAGGTGATTTAGTGATATCTCTAGGAATATTAGAATCCTTTTGGTGGATAATGACATAACCCATTTTTATCTTTCTTAGGAATAGGCTGGATATCAACTTGATATAAAGGATTTAGATATGCAATGGCTTTCCTGACAGCAAATACAGATAACATAGGATTGCTGACTGTAGACTCTCATTCTGGGTTGATGTTAAAAATGGACCCCAAATAGCTGCTATCTGAGGTAGCCCACATGGATTGTGCAGAGGACAAAGTCTGGGGTAGATGATTTCGGAAGCCTTCTAAACCCATGATTGTGTTACACTCATTTCCCACTACATCAAAGTTTCTAGGAATTTCTTAAATAGAGAACAACCCTAAGACAGCCTCAATCATGTCAGTTTATGGCCAAATTGAGGTAGACTTACTGGGTGATTGTTTTTCCTTTAACACCTTCTTACATTCAGTTGCTGCTTCTATCCCTTTTATAATATGCTTTCTCTAAAGTCTGACACCTAATTGTGCAATCCCTTAGCTATTTGCTGCCACCACGCATATACACACGTACATAGTTTTATACACACACACACACACACACACACACACACACACCCCTTGCCTGGTGATATTTGCCTACTTCTCAGTCATAAACAAAGCTCCAGAAACCTTACCCATGATTCAAACACCCTAAGCTATTCCTTTAGGGTTCTGCCCTTTGTTCACAGCAGGTGAGCTTATCTGTTTGCTGGTGTCAAGAAGTAAGTCGTTAAATCATTGCTCCCTCTAGTCATATTTTAAGCTGGTCCTTTGGACCCCATCTGCAAAACCCAAGGGAAAGGCTCTAATTGTGGAAATTACCACAATTGGGGTGGGTCAGAAAGATAAGATTTTAGACAGACACGTCGTATATATCTCCCCATTTCTCATTCTTACATGTAGGCCAAATGATTCACCTTTGCTTCAGTCTGATCTGACTCTGGTTCAGAGTGTGTGGTACAAATACTATGAACCTCATCAACGATGCTTGTCGTCAATGATTTAGCACCTACAACATAACAGTAACATGGTAAGGAGACTGGGCTTCTGAGTTTCAGAGTGAGGCTTTCTGGGTTTGATCCCAGCTCTGCTATTTACTGGTTGTGTGACTTAAATAAGGCTCTAAGGGCCTCTAAGCTCAGTTTCCTCATCTGTAAGGTAGAGAGAGTAATCATAATTAAAAGCAAAGCTTGTGTGAGGGTTAAGTAAAGCAAACCAAGTAATGCACTTTGCATAGCACCTAATGTGTTGCAAATACTGTACTCAGTACATGCTTGATCTAAATGATTATTAATCATTACAATAATACAATGTAGCATAAATCCCAGCATGTAAAAATAGAACAATAAAGACTTGTTAAAAGAAGAGAAGAAACTTTGGCATGTTCATAGAACTATGCAGCTAAGAGATACTTTAGATGACCTAGTTCTTCATTTACTCTTGAAGGCAAAGTGAAGTTCAGAGAGGGAAGAGTCTACTAGCCCATCAAAATTACATATATTTTTAATTCCAAATACTTTTACAAATACAGTAGCAGAAATGTCTATGATAACACTCTGTCTACATGAAAAAGTTTCAAAAAAAAAAAAAATCACCTTGCAGGTATTTGGAGAAGAAATTGGACTTTGGAGCCAATCTTCGTGGGTGTGAGTTCTGACCCACTTATTACATGTGTGACTTAAGCATGCTTTAGTTTTCCAATCTATAATGGTGTGAAAATGTCTACCTCATAAGCCTGGGGTGAGATGTAAGTATTTACATCTGTAAAGTGTATACAACGGGTACTTGACAATCAACGCTAGATGTTACCTACTGTTATGACAGTTTGAAAGTTGTAGATTTCCTAGATTCAAACTCCAGCCCTATGTGTACAGTCTCAGTTCTCCCACTTCCAAAATGAGGATAGTTTTTGCATTCTTTGTAGGGGCATGTTAATGATTAAATGAGACAATGTGCAACACTCAGAACGGCACCAAAAATAAGTTAATCACTCAATAATTGTTAAAGATTATGATTTTTAAAGCTAATTTATAAATATTAGAGTACTTTTTCCTTTTTTTTCCTATTATATTTGCTTTTTCTTTCATATTAGTGCTGATACTCATTTTAAGTACAACTCTCACTAGATATTATTTTGAAGTCTTTGGCTTTGGAGGCAGCAGACTTGAAACATTTTTACCAACATCAAGCTATTAGCAAACGCTTACTAGAAACACATTTATTAGATGATTAATTGCCCTGGAACACACATATCTAAAACCACAAGGTAATTACTGTTTTTAAAAATTGAAATGAATGTCAAGAGTTTCAGAATATATATTTGTTAATCTTTGTTTCATTTTTTTCAGTTAACAAGAATCTTCCAGATTTTATTTTAATTTATTACCCTTAATTATTTCTGTAGTCATTTTCCCTCAGGTACTCCGGATAGAGAACAAGTGACTTTCTGGAGTTTGAGTGGGGTGGATGGAATTCTTGCCCCACCAGGCAAATCCTGGATATCGACAATGATTCTTTCAGTGATAGTAAATATCCACTCATGTTTAAATGGGTTTCAAGACCAGCATTTCTTACTCACAGATTTCCTGAATAAAGTATCTACTTGTAATCTCCCTCTTTTAATTTTTTAGCCCATTTCTGTGACCTCCAAGACACTGAAATTACTCTTGTTCACTTCCATATACTACATCCAATCAGAAGAATTTTAGTCTTATCTTCTGTGACCTCTCAGCAGTGCTCTGAATTGTTGTTTCTGTGGTAGAAAAAATACTGGTCCTCTAAAGATGTCCCCATTCTAACATATGGAACCTGGGAGTAGACAATGTTGCATAGCAAAAGGGAACTAAAGTTATAGGTGTGATTAAGGCTAAAGACATTAAATTTGGGAGATGATCCTGAATTATCCAGGTGGACCCAACCTAATCCCATGAATCCCTAACAGTAAAGAACCTCACCTGGCTGTGGTTGGAGAGAGATGTGAGTATGGGAAGAAGACAGAGATGCAACTCTGCTGGATTTGAAGGTGCTGGTTTGTCCATATTTCTTAGGCCATTCTGCTTTTCCATCTCCTCTAGTCTTGAGCTGACCTTTAGTCATGAGCTGCTCTGAGCTCTGTCTTTGGCCTTTCTCTTTTTTCATGATAACTCTCCCAGGCAATCTCATCCACTTTCATGATTTCTCAGTTCTCTGTCATCCTACACATCATTGCAGAGTCTTAGAGCTACATGTCCAACTGCTTACTAGATTTCTCCACTTGGCTACACCACAAGTATCTCCAGCTCAATAGGTCCCTTATTCAATTTGAAATCCTAAACCAGAGTTCCCTATCATAACAAATAGGACCAGCTTCCAAACTGTGGAGCAAGCTTGAAGTCTTAGAATCTTGCTTGATACCTACTTCTCCCTCAACCCTCATAAGTAATCATCACATTCTCCAACATATTCTCAAAATTTCTTTTAAGCTAATTCCATTCTCTCCAGCTCCCTCTCTAGACACACTCTTATCTGGCCTCCTCACTGGGCACTCTGCCTCCCACTCTTAGCCTTTCTGACACATTTGGCACAAAGCACATGGACAGACCCTTTCTGATCACTGTCCTACTTTAACAGTGGCAAACCTGTAACATGATCTGCAAGATCCTGAAGGATCTGGCTCCTCCCACACTTCAAACACCCCTTTGTACCCCCCCTTTCCCCAAGTATCCTAGTGTCTGACCATGTTGGCCTTTCCCAGCTCCTGCCTAATGCAGGGTCTTCTCCTCTACTTGGAAGTCTCTCCTGTTTTCTTTGGTTAACCCCATTTTTGTAGCCTTCAGGCCTCAGCTTGA